GGGTAGAAGTGAACTGAGGATCTCCATTAGCAAAAACACAGAATACTGAATCATGCAAGCTCAGGGGATGGTCCTAGAACTCTGAACCACATATAAAGGAATATTTAGTAAGCTGGAAGGCTTACAGCCAGTGGAAGTTGTAGCAGAAGCAAGAAATCCAGTGCTTTATAATCCAAGGCACTCAGCTGCTCCCTAAGCAGCTATCTTGGGAGAGACTAAACAGGGGAAGGGTCAGAGCAGCCATGGACACCTGACAGAACTATGGAGATAAAGGTGTGGAAATTCTTATTTTTCTATCTGTTCGTTGGCATTTCGCCATCTGTGTACCTCCATTCTGGTGACTAGAGGGGGTGCCTGAAAGAGTGTATACCCCACCTCCACCCTGGAAGGTTCTATTATGCATGCACACAGATCTCCTCAATATTTAAAAGGACAGTTTCCACTTAAAAACCAAACAGCAGTGCAACATGGCCACAGCCAACCCTGAAATTTTTATCACTAGGAAAAAGGCCTGAACAGGGCTTGTGGAGCAGGACAGGTAGATTAAAAAGGAAACAGGCTGAAAATTAAATCCTGAGTTATGTAATAATGACCAACAGTGGCATCTTAAAATTTCTTCAGGAAGAAGAATGAAAAGGGAAGCCCATCTCCTGATCACATCTACCAGGAGGCAATCAGAAAGCATAAAACAACAACAACAAAAAAAACCCAGACACCCATCTAAGTATTATGCCACAGCTAATTACTGAATATGTCCAAAAAATTAGACACAGATGACCATATCAGCACATGTACAGTAATGAGATAAAGTGACTAAGGCAAAAGAACTGGAGATAGACCTACATTCCAAACTGAAAAATGAGCAGGCTTTGGAAATGCCAGAGAAGGAATTCAGAAAAATGATTATAAAACACTTTACATGGAGTTGAGAAAAATAAGGAAGAAGTCAGGAAATTTCTAGAGAAACAATCAAATAAGATAGATACAGCATTGGAAACAATTCAAAACCTACATAAGGAGGTCCAAATGATTAATAATAGAATATCAGAAATGGACAATACACTGAAAGGGCAAAGGAATAGAATGGATGGAAGCCAGAACTAGTGAGCTGGAAGATAAATCTCTTACTAACACTAAGATAGAGAACAAGCAAAAAAAGAATAAAGAAATCTAAAGAAGGTCTAAGATTCATGTTGGACAACATGACAAGGAATAACTTTAGAATTATCAGCATTCTGGAAAGGAAGAATCACACAAGTCCACAGAGGAGATAGTTCAAGAGCTTCTGGAAGAAAATTTCCCTAACATCCTGAAAAGTGAAAAGATAGGCATTCAAACAGCTCAATGAACCCCAGGAAGGATATACCCTAAAAGAAAATCACCAAGACATATAATAATCAAGATAAAAAGAGAATCCTGAAAGCAGCTAGGGAAAAGAGAAGTGTAACATACAAAGGCAAGCAAATCAGATTAAGCTCGGATCTCTCAACAGAAACCATGCAGGCAAGAAGGCAACGGGGAGACATATATAAAAGAAAAAAAAAAAAAAAAAAAAACTGCCAACCAAGAATCCTCTACCCAGCAAAGCTGTCAATCAAATATGATGGTGTAATCAAAACAACCCAGGATAAACAGAAGCTCAGGGATTTTGCCAAAGCCAATGCTGAGCTGAAAAACATCCTAAAGGGGATTCTTTGGACTGATAACCAACAAGAACAGACAACAACTAGAGACTGATGTACGTGGCAGCATCACCCAGAAGTTAAAGAGTTGAGAACAGAATAAAACTATAAGAACAAATTCAGAGGATCTGGGAGGTCAGTCTATGATCAAAACAATTAAAACGTGAAAGAAGGTAGACACATAGGAATAGAGATCCAGGTGGTGAGAAGGTCAGGTAGATTACAGGATAAAATAGACTGTCTTAAATGGAGGGGAAAGTTAATTGAATATAAGGTAACCATAATAGTGGCGTTGGGGTGGGAGGTTTAGGGGGAGGTGGAGGGAGGCAATAGTAGAGCAGCACAAGGTAAGGGCTGACACATGGTAGTTGGGGTGTTGGGGATGGCAATACAAGAAGGGGGAGGAGGTGGAAGAACAAGGTAGGTAGGGGAACACTGAGACAGTTTGCATGGGCTAAATGGGACAGAGGTAAATAGTGAAGCATGCTCAACCTTGGAACAACAGGGCTCTGTGATAAAGGCATCTAGGTATAGTTTGAAGAGGGGAAATATTACTAGGATGCTTGACTGTCTTGTGAATATTGGTTTCCCTTGCCTACTATTGTAAAATAGACACCTGAGTGGGATAGAAAGGAATGTTAGGAAACATGATTACAGAAAGCTTGTAAGCCCATCTTCAAACCTATAACTGATACTGATTGGAATACCTCAAATGGGTTCTAGAACTTGCCCTGTGAAAAAGGCCTCTTGCAGAGGCTTTGCAGTGTATAGGACCCTATGTGGAATCCTGAGTCCCATCCAGAACCTTCTGAGGTGGGACATTCCCACTAGCAAGGACAAGCAGACCAGACTGGAACAGCTACAGTGACAGAAGATACATCGTCAAAGAAAGATCATCAGGAAAAAAACAAAACAAAAAATGGCAGTATTACTGGCAACTACAAGAACAAGAAAGCTGTTCGCTGGGAAGCCATTAGGGCAAGCTAGCAAGTTCCTTCAGGACAGAACCCTCTCTAAGATTGAAACTCAAAAGGAACACATGAGCAGGCACGTAAGCTTGCTGACGACAACATTGGTCGACTGTTGAGTGGAAAAGGGAGAAAGGCAGCAAGGGAGAAATGGGCTGAGTTCAACATGGTCCACTGACTACCATTGACCTGGAAATGAGCAGGAGAAGAGGCAGGGCTGGTTGGTCCAAAGTGCGGTGAGACCTGGTAACACTTGAGCCCATGGACTAGGAGATAGCTTCAGAGGGCTAGAGCTGAGAGTGAAGCATCAGCTGATATGAAATGAAGGGAGATACACAAGAACACCCAAATTTGCAGATAGTACCCATTTGACCTAGCATCAATGGCTTGATAATCAGAACTCAACTAGAGGAAGAATAATTTTTTTTAAATTGATAAAGGAAACAAGGGTAAATTGCTACAATTTGATGAACCTGATCTATACTCATGGAGGTAGTAACTCTAAATACCAATAGAGAGAGAAGGAGTCTTCACACCAAGTGTCAATGCTATCCTCTCTGTACACAGGATAGATAGAGATGGGCAACTCAGACACTGGCTACCTAAAATGGGGGTGGGGGTGGGGTTTGATAAAGGCATGAAGTGACTGGGTTACAAGGTTTTAAGAGGGAATTTAGTTTACGAGTGTGTGTGGGAAGAAAGAGTCCCCACTGAACAGTTTTCATCTTGTCTAGATGGGTCTGGTTAAAAGAGATGGGGATAAGATTTTTATGATTCAATAATAAGCAATTGTTATCATAACTAATTGTGACTGTCACAATTGTAAAGGTAGAAGTTTTGTAAGAAAAGTGGGGGAGCAGTTAATCTTACAGGCCAGAAACAAGGGACCATAGTACCATCAAGGGAGAAGAGCACAAGCAGAATGTGGTACCTTATCCAGATATTCAGCGACACCACAGATGGAGACAAAGATAGGGACATGGAGAGGGAGAGCAGCTGAGAACTCTAGATTCATGGGAAGAGAGGGACTAAGAGATGGTGGCCAGGAGGCAGGCTTACAGAATGTGCCCTTTGGTAGTATAAATTATTATATATGCCTGAGTTTAATAAATAAAATAGATCTGAAGTGAATAGAGAGAAATACTGTTAACTGATGGTACATGGAGGAGATTGTAATCATTGTGATGAAACAAGTTGTATGATTTGTTGAATGTAAAACTGATGATGTGCCCTGTAAACTTTCACTCAATCCACAATAAAACCTTAAAGAAAAATGGTCCATACATTGGAAACATTTATTTTGAAATGGCAGTCAACTATAGTCACAGACTGCATAAGGGGGACTTCAAAAATATATGGAAAATTGCATTAAGCTTTCATTCCGTTTTCCCCTTAATTTTCGAAGTCCCCTCTTGCCAAGCAAATCTGCTTTTTCTTGTCATGTCATGGTTTCTCTGTTTCTTCCAGCATCACTAGTAGCATTTCATATGGGTCCAATGGTGCTCAATTCAAGGTTTATGAAATTGCACCAAACACAATGAAAAATACGCAAGAACCAAAGACCATTTTTTCCTGAGAGACACAGTTTACTGGAGAGAGGAACTGTTCATATGGAAATGAAGTGATAACAGTCACATGGCTTTTTTTTTTTTAATTTGCATATACCCGAGCCCTGGCATTTCTAACCTGAATTGTTCAAGGAGCAACAGTACTCTTATAGGGTATAACATACATATAATATCCTTTTAAGTATACAAAAATAATTCTGATTTTCACAAAATTTAAAACACAGGAATAATTAATTGAAAATATTAAAGATCATCATGACTTTCATTTTTTCCCACTTACTTTTGCCAATCTGGATTAAACTGGTATAGGGGCAATAAGTATGCAAATATAAAAGTCTGGATATAATTAAAAAGCACATATACACTAAATAGTTTTAAGGAACTTCCCTAGTGAGAGCCCATCTGTGCAAGAAACAAATACATATTAAAAATTGCTGTCTGCTTTGAGAATTAAATAAGGATGCTGAAGTATAAAATTACTGCTGGTTTTAGTATAAGATTATTTTATACACTTCTAGGTTCCCCCACTGTTCAAATCACGCCCAAGGAGTAAGGCATTCTTAAGATAAGGTACCACAACCAAGTAGCACCCCCATGAATTAAAATTATAACGTGCGTCCAAGGCATTGAACTCATAGGCAAAGAGTAATTATTGATGCTGGAGATGTAACTGACTTGGCTCTTCTAGTGTTACCGTTGTCTATTTTGACTTTTGTTTATGTTTTACAAACTCCTACCTTTTGCTTCTTGTTTTCTTCTGCAGGGTTAATTATAAAAGGATGCTAAAACAGCCCTTCTATTGTTGCTACTGTTAAGTGCTGGCAAGTCAGTTCTGACTCATAGTGACTCTGTGTAAGGTTTCTGAGGGGCAGCTGGTGGGTTTGAACCACCAACCTTGCAGCTAGCAGAGCAGTGCCTATCCTACAGGGTCACACCAGGACTTCTACTACTGTTGTTAAATGCCATAGAATCAGTTCCAACTTACAGCAGCCCTGTATAGGGTTTCCAAGGAGCAGCTGATAGGTTTGAGCTTCTGACCTTGTGGTTAGCAGTCCAGTGCATATCCAACAGCGCCACACCAGTACCCTTGGTTGGTTATGTACCATGGAGTCAGTTTCGATTCATAGTGACTCTGTATAGGGTTTCCGAGGCTCATCTTTCTCCTGAAGAACAGCTGGTAGTTTCAAACTGCTGACCTTGAGGTTAGCAGCCCAACTCTTAAGCACTCCATTACCAGAGTACTCCTTACATGAGTAGTAGTAAAATGAATCTTTCTGGTTGTAGAATGAGCCAACTCAAAACAATATTAAATTGAGAAGAATTCTGAATATTACTAGACTATTAAAACATATGCTTCTTACAAAAATAGGCTATTGTGATAATAAATCATTCTCATTTTCACCTATCTCTTTCTAAAGGAAAATTGGTTAAGTGTGACACAACATATGGAGATGTTTGGCGGCATGCAATTCACATATGCATGCCTCCCTCTCCGCATCTTTCCATGTGCATTTAACAGCTCAAAGAGAATTTGCAAAGTTGGCTATCAATTAAACAAACAAGTTGTAGACAGGAGGATGATGGTCTCACTAAATTAACTTTTCTTGGTTTGCCAACCCTAGATCTTTGGAGGATAAAATGTTCTGATTACTTTCAGCAAGGCTAAAGATTTGGTGAGAAGGCAAGGCAACAGGGGCTCCTAGACTCAGCTGTCAGTGTTGGTACTGGAGAGACTAGGGCTTCCCATGATACCTTTAAGGAACAGATGTCAAAATCCTAACCGTACCTCATTATCAGTACTCCCAACAGTCCTTTTCACAACAGTGGAGGTTTTGGCAGAGATTCTAGCCAAATCTTGTGCTGATCATTCATTCTGCATTCTGCCTTCCGAAATGCCCTTAGGAGTTCCTATTGGATATGTATCACTTTCTGTCTGAGATTGCTGCAGAGCATTCTGGTGGGCTATTTAAAAGTGTTGCTTTGTGGTGGAACGGGTGGTGGGTAGAATGTGAGAAAAAGCACTGATAATATTACTGTAAGAGAGTTCTCGGCTTCTATGCATAGTAGGAAGGTCTGAGAATGAACAGATCTATATAAGTGGTTTTATCTCAAATGTTAATTGGGTTATTTTTAGCTGTGAATCCTGTTA